TGATATTATCTTCATTTTAATATAAAAATAAAAAATATTTATTAGTAAAATTGAAAACTTTTATATAAAGAGAAAAATATGCATTTTACTATATTTAATTAGTAAATTTTGACGTCATTGCATTATTTCTGATTGCCACTGTATCTGAAGATAATCTAATAGATTCAGATAATAGAAATAATATTTTTTTTGAATTATTAGAAAAAGGATTAGAGAATGAATTTAATATGATGAAAGAAGAATTAGAAAATGAATTTAGCCTATAAAAAAAAAGAGAATATCTATTAGATCTTGATAACTTTGATTTGATTTTTTTATTTTCTTATTTATTCCTGAAAATTTTTCTTATAAAATCTTTTGTTTTATTTTTACACAGAATTATTTGAAGAGATAATTAAAAATCTCTAGCTCCTCAAAATAAAAAATCTGTATAATATTTCAAAGATAATATTTAATGAGATATTGAAAGTAATAGAAATATCATGTATTATCCTATATAAACTTTAAAAGTTTCTTGGAAAACAGATGCCAATTGAACCAAATCTGTATTAACTCTTATATAATATTTACTGATGAGAATACTAATAAAGATCAGTATTTCATATATAATAAAGAATTATATAAAACTGATAAAACTGAGAAAAATTATCTAAAAACCAGAAAAAAATTATATATTGTTCAGTTATAAATTTATTATAAATATAATATAATAATAAGAAATGAGTACAACTTCTTTGATATCAAAATGAATATATAAATACTAATGAATATTTTGCTGAAAATAAATTAATAATATTTTCAATAATTTATATTATAAAAATCTTACAAAGACTGGCTTTTTTATAAATTATCATGATATAATTCTATTGGAATTAATGAATAACTTTTAACTCTTCTGATAAAAATAGGATGACTATTGGATGATTCTCTTAATTAATATAAATCTTTTGCTAAAAATTTATATTAAATAAAAAATCTGATAATTACTATAATATTTCTGAATTTTAAGACTTCAAAAAACTTTAACTTATTTTTTAGACCATTAATTAATGAATTGAAGCAGTTGCAAAATAAAAAAAACTTCTTTCTTCCAGATAATTTTCATTTCTTGTCAAATTTACAGTTCAAAAAGTTATTATCTGTATTAATAATAATTTTCTGAACTATAAATTTATATAAATTTTAATTTTTTTCTAAATAATAAATGGAGTTCAAAATTATAATGCCAAAAATGATACAAATTTTATATTATGTATATATATTCTGAGTTAGTTTAGTGATCTTTCTGCTTTAATAAAAGTGATATACATCACTGAACACAATTTATATCAAAGATATTGCTTTTATTACTTGTGAGGAATTTATTGTATAAATAATATATATATATTATTCATTATTACTTTCAAAATAATTGACTAGTATTTACTATATATTTAATATCTTGCTGGAAAGAACTCATTAGAGTTATCTTCAGAATATTAATATTATTGAAAATTCTAGATCAAAAGTCAATCATACACACTCAATAAAGATATCTTTTTAGAGTTAAAATCAGTAAGATTATCAAATAGTTTTCTAGTAGATATTATATATAATCTTTTCAAAAATATTGCTTTGGCAATATTCTGGTACTGAATCAGTACATTATTTAAATTAGATAATGATTTCAATATTTCTAATAATAACTAGAAACAAATCAGAAGTATTATTAAAAAAAATTAAAAAAATATATTATACAAGTTTGGATGTTTATTGGTTGATATTTTAATACTTTTAAGATAGAGACATAAACAAATTGAATTATATTTCACTTTTATCTGAAAATCTAAATAAAAAATTAGTAAAAAATCTCATATATTTGATTAGAAATTCTCTTTTTTCAGGTATTTAAAAGAATGAACAAAGCTTATTGATGCATACAAACTTTGTTTAAAAAAATAATTATTTCTGATGAATTAAAGAAAATTAAAAGACTTTTTTCTGAGTTTGTAATACATTATAAAAGAAAATATTATATCAAAATATTTTTAAATATAGTCAAATCTCTCTATAGTCACTATTCTCAGAAAAGCAAAATTTGGTGACTATAGAGAAATTTTTTTATTATATTTATATATAAATAAGAAAGCAAAATTTGATAATTATTTTAAAATTACTAAGCAATCTTGATAAATATTTATCAAAATTAAATTACAAAGATTATAATAAAATATTGATATCACTCTATTACAAATTAAAAAATTAATAAATTCTAAATTTGAAAAAGTTATAGAAAATATTTATTATTTGCTAGAGCTTAAACTTTTTAAGAGAAAAATAATATTATTATTCTCAACAAAATTTTATAATTCTATAATTTTTATAATATACAAATTATAATTTTGTTCAATAATATTTATATTAATTTGATCTTTTATTTAGTATTATATAATTATAATTAATATAAAATTTATAAATATTATTTTCTTTTTATTAATAATTAAAATAATTATTAATGAATTATATTTTTATATACTTTAATCTTTTTTTCATTTTTTATTTTCTTTTATATTTTTTTATTTTTTCAAATTAATTTTTTTGTAATTAGTACATTTTATATTTTATTTCCAATAAGAATATTTTTAATTCAAATTTTATTAACTTTAACCAATTATATTTATATTTATATTTATATTAATTTTAATTTAATTTTATTTTTTTACTTTTTTTCTTTATTTTAATATTGTTTTCTCTTATAATTTTGCTTTTTTACTGTAAATTTATAATTTTTCTTATTTTTAATAACTAAAATTTATATTAATTTTCTCTTATATTTTCTTTTTTCTTACCTTGTGTAATTTTTCATTTATTTTTCATTCTTTGTTTTCTTTTAATATTATTTAATATTTTTTGTAAATAGTGATATAATTTAGAATACACTATTGTTTTTGTGATCATCTTCAAATTTTGACTTCAAGTAATGGATGCTTCTTTACTCTAAATAAGTCATTGACTCTAGTATTTTTGTTTATTTTGATTTTATTATTTTAGGCTGTGTCAATAAGTTCTGGTTATTTATTTTAGTTATTTGGTTTATTTTCTTTATTGGTATTTTCAATTGTTATTTCATTTCATTAGGCATTCTCAATAAGTCCTGTTATTTACTTTAATAGTTTTCTATTTGTATTTTAGTTTATCTTATCCCCCTTTTACATTTGATATTAAGTTAGTTTGTATACAAGCTACCATAGGAGACCTTTAGAACTCTTAGTGAACCCCATTAATCATAAATCATCTGGCCTTCTTTCACTGTTATGTTACTTTGTTAATTCATTAATTCTAACAATACAATACAATGCCACTCAACATTAAATTAGAATATATACAAATATTAACAACAATTTCACCTGCAATAAAAAACAGATATCGAACCAAATTGATTATAATTCATCAGTGGAAATTGATAAAAATGGAAAAGATAGAATTGATCAAGCATTAATTCGATTTTTTGTCTGTTGTGATATCCCAAAGTCTCTGTTTTGGTTATAAACTTCCAAAGAAATGACTCTTTCAACAACTATTTAGAATAAGGAATTAAAATCATCAAAAAATTTTTGGGGGTGATATATATCGATAGATATCCACTAGTTATATTTCAATATATATTTGATTCGTCGATGTATAACAAAATATAAATTTGATATATATCGATAATTTGATCAAAGAGAAAAAGAGGTTGGCTTGGTATCGACTTTATAATACCCATCAAAAAATCCTAGCTTAAAGTAAGGTTCGACTATTATTTTTCGCTCGTCAATTTAACATTAATTGTGAGTAATATTTTATAACTGAACTATGGCAATTTATCCATCGATTTATTAGCTACTGTAGTTGAAATTTTTATAATGATCTGAACTAGGCATTTTTAAGTTAGGGAATACTCAATTAATTAAATAGATTCCGAGATTAGAATCGATTCTAATTTAAGAATCGAGTTTACTTTAGCGTTAGTGCAATTAAAATAAAATTTTTTTTGATTTCTTAGTAATAGAATCTAAATAATAATATTTCTCATGTATTGTACATGTAATTTGTATTTGAAAATCGATTTCGAGTGGTTGAAATTATTAACGTTAACGTAAATCGAGAATCGCTTCCTATCCTTAGGGTAATAGAAACCTAAATAATATCGATATTGAATTTACGCTCTATTTTTTCTGCAAATCTCAATAGAGATAAATTTGAATTCCTATGACTAACTATTAGTGCATTAAAAGTATTGATTAAAACCGGAGAATATATTAAAAATGATATATGATGATATATTACTAACCTTAACATATTCTTATGAGTTCTTTACATAAATAACTGGAATGACCTGTTTGCTTGCCATTATTTATTTATTTATTTATTTTTCAAAGCTTTCAGCACAATTAATATAAATCACAATGGTTCTTTTTTCTGTCATCAAAATTACTATTATTTTTATGCTAATTATCGTAAAGATTACTAATAGTGCTGGTAAGAAAACTAGCATATTTCTTTGTTCAATACATGTGTTTAATATTAATAATAAACAATAAAACAGGCAAATCTATCGCGTGCGATGGTGTAATCCAAGTCCGCGACCAACAAGACCTCGACGGTTTACAGAACTGTCCAACCTTCTCGGGCACAATCGCAATAATCTCAACTCCTCTAAAATCACTCATCATCCCACATATTCAAAATCTACGCGGGACAATCGATGTACAAAATAATCCATCTTTGGCAATGATAGCAGTTCCTCATTTGAAGAACGCGAACAATTTTGTGCTGAACGAAAATCGCGCGTTGAATATTGTCGATGTACCGTCCATGACTCAAGCAACCACATTTAGTATTAATGGTGCTCCGTCATTGAAATCTGTTAATTTCCCTTCGCGTCTTGGTCAAATTGGGAATTTGGAATTATCGAATACAGGTGTGAAGGAATTGAATGGGGTGGACGCAAAAGAGATTAATAGTTTAAGATTGACGAATAATGCGGATTTGGATAATGTTTCTTTGACGAATACTAAATCGGTTGGAACAATTTCTCTTTCGAATAATGCAAAGGCTGGACTTCATTTTGATGTAAATATTTTTTTCTGATTGTGTTATTTAGAAAGTTTTGAAATTTACATGCGGATTTCTTATATGATCTAGGCTCAGAATTTAGGTGAACTTGGTGAGGGCGAATTCAAAAACCTTGCATCAACTTCATTTCCGTCTCTTACGAAAGTAACATCCAGTCTAACATTCAACGAAAACTCTATGAAATCACTCGAGATTCCAAAACTATCTGAAATCGGCGGAACATTGCAAATCACTTCAAATGGTAACCTTAAATCAACTGCTTTTTCAGACTTGACACACATTGGCGGAACACTTTTCGTGTTAAACAATCCACAACTCGCCAATGTTGATGGATTTCCTAATCTCGCAAAAGTTGATGCAGCCGTTGATATTACTGGCAGTTTTGACAAAATGTCGATGCCGGCATTACGTGATGTTCGCGGTGGAATGAATGTTCAATCGAGCTCAAACGCATTTAAATGTGACACTATTAATGGTTTCAAAGGAAATGTGGTCAAAGGAGATGACGATAATTTTACATGCGTAACTGGAGTCATGGATCCCAAGCCGCGAATTAGTAAAGTCAAAGATGACAATGTTAGGACAAAAGAATCGAAAAAAATTGATGAAAAACCTAATAAAAAAGATCCGATCATTGAGGCTAATATAGAAGAGGAAAAGAAGAAGAAAAAGAAGAAAAGTAGTGGTACCGTAGAAGTATTTGGTTTAACGGGTTTTATTATTGTTGTTGGAATCAATTTAGTTCTTCAAATTATTTATTTTTATAGATAACAATAACGATAACTAAAACTATTGATCTATTATTTTCTATACATGTATTGTTATATCTTTAAATTTTAACAGAAAAGTTATACATGTATTAAATTAGTGCTCGATGCTTAAATTCAGAAAATTTCTTAGCTTGAAATATTATTTTTGAATTATTTGAAAGACTTCATAATCCAAGATATTAAAATTAACGATACCAAGCTCGTAAGAAAAATTACAGCAGTAATTGCAGCTATCACTAAGAAAATCCGGCCCTTGCATTAAACCATGTCCACCTCCAAAAATGGGACCATGTTTTGCATCACAACTGACGCTTAGGGAACCGATATGTTTACTCAGAACTCCATTGGAATTATCGGCATCAAATTTAAACAGAAAACTTTCAATTTCAGCAAGATAATCTACATCAACCGTTGCAATTTAGGAACCTATCATATGAATGTCGATCACTTATGTGACTGATAAAAACATTGATCTGCGTGACAAATCGTGTGACTGATAAAAACATAATTTTCTACAACATTCATAAAATACTTTTTCACTATTCTAATTTTATCCCAAATGTCTCGCATCACTAAAAAAACGCAGACATTCAGTTCGCGAAATCACTATTGGAACGGGTGGCTTGGCTTCATTCCAACGTGTATGTAAAAGTAAAGAGGAACTTTCTTTTGTTACGCGGCCGTGTTCCGTGTTACCAATCTTTCTTACGTTACGCGGTCGTGCTCTCAACTTTTTTCTTTCGTTACTAATCTTTCTTTTATTACGCGGCCGTGGTCCGTTACGCGGTCATGTTACCAATCTTTTTTCGTGCTCTCAACTTCTTTCGTTACCAATCGTTCTTTTATTATGCGGTAGTGTTCCCAACTTCTTTTTTTTGTTACCAATTTACGTGGTCGTGCACTATTTTCATTCGTTGCGCGATGTTAGTTTTCTAATAATTATTTAGCAAATGTTTATAATAATTTAATAATTATATAATCAACACTCGCTAGCAAAAAAAAAAAAACTATGCATTATATGTTGATTCGTACCGAATTTAATTTTCGTTTGACAATATCGCCTATTGCCGGTCGAGCGCTACGAACTGTCCCGCTTTCACAATTAAGATCGATTTGTGGCTTGTGGCTTATATCAGGGTAAAACGAGAAAAGTGGTCACGTTTTTAATTATTCTTCGATTGGAAGACTGAGGGATCAACGCAACGCGTTGGTTCGGCCTCTCTGCGTTCTGTTGCGTGCTACTATTTTAATCGGTCAAAGAGGAGTTTTTACGCAACTGGGATGAGAGCTAGACTGAATTATTTAC